TGGACATGTCCAGAGGAGGGACAGTGGTTTGGACATGTCCAGAGGAGAGACAGTGGTTTGGACATGTCCAGAGGAGGGACAGTAGGTATATTGGTAGGAGGATGTTAGAAATGCAGCTGCCAGGAAAAATACAAAGAGGAGATATATGATGCAGTTAGAGAGGACATGGAGGTGGTCGGAGTGGGGACAGAGGGCACAGAGGACAGAGTGAGGACAGAGTACACAGAGGACACAGAGGACACAGAGGACAGAGTGAGGACAGAGTACACAGAGGACACAGAGCACAGAGTGAGGACAGAGGACACAGAGGACAGATTGAGGACAGAGGACACAGAGGACAGAGTGAGGACACAGAGGACACAGAGGACAGAGTGAGGACAGAGGACACAGAGGACAGAGTGAGGACAGAGGACACAGAGGACAGAGTGAGATGGAGGAGGATGACTCTCTGTGGAGACCCCTGAAGAGGGAAAAGCCAAAAGACGAAGAATCAGTCCCTGAAGTAGAATCTGTTCATTACAGGGAGTTTTATACCAGAACACATGAACATTCATCTGAATGAAGACAACAAAGTTGTCTTTGAAGTTTTATTACAAAAATAATAATTTGAGCAGGAATTATTTCAGTTTTATACGCGCAACAATTTAGACAAAGTTTGACTATTTTAATAAATAGTTTACTTTGGATTTTGGTTGAAAGTAGTTATTGAATGTGATCAGATAAAGTCATTATCACTGCAAGCAGGAGATGATTTATCAAGTTGTCAGCTGAAAATCGCTTAACCAGTTCAAATGTCACCAGTTTCTGCTCCTTACTGGGTCAGTGTTGAGCATCTCTCGTCTTTCTGGGGCTCTGCTGGTGGATCAGACCGGGATACACCACGAGGAGGACTCGCCAGGAACTGCCCAAAGGTTGCTGCCCGTGCTGGCTCCGTCCTCCAGCTGTGCGGCGCTAGCAGCGTTCTCCATGGATGTGGCAGGGTGGCACCAGCTTCATCTTCCTCCAAGTTATTCTTTATTTGTTGCAGTCTGCTTCCAAAATGCAGATCAATTCTTTTCAACTCAATATAATCATTGATTGTTTTTTTTTAATTAGTTGTGTTTTGCAAGGAAACTATCACAACAACCACATATTAAAGAATATTAACTCAGATGAAAATGAAAATAATATATAATTATAATATATAATAAATCCAGATAGGGCAGCACGGTGGCACAACTGGTAGAGCTGCTGCCTCTCAGTGAGCAGGTCCCTGGTTCAAACCCCGGTCCAGGGGCCTTTCTGGGTGGAGTTTGCATGTTCTCTCCGTGCATGCGTGGGTTTTCTCCAGGTACTCCGGTTTCCTCCCACAGACCAAAAACATGCATGTTAGGCTGATTGGTAACTCTGAATTGTCCTTAGGTGTGAGTGAGACAGTGAATGGTTGTTTGTCTCGTTTGTCTCTATGTGTCCCTGTGATGGACTTGCGACCCATCCAGGGTGTCCCCTGCCCCTCGCACAGTGATTGCTGGACATGGGCACCAGCGACCCCGGTGACCCAAAATGGAATAAGCGGGTAAAGATAATGGATGGATGGATGGATTTTCTGGGGTTGATAAGGGGGTGCTATGATGTTTTCTGGGGGAGCTATAACACCCCTAGCTCCCCCCTGGAGCCGCCTATGAAGAAAATATTTGTTATATTTAATACTGGTTTACTTTAAGAGTCGACCTGAATCAAGATGGCTGCCGCAGCTATCTGAACTTGGTCAGTTTAATTTTATTTTACTCTGTCAATCTCCAAAAAAATTCTCTGCATCTTCCACATTTCACATGTGACCACACACATGTGGAGCAGAGGGCTGCCAGCTGTGAGGCGCCCGGGGGAGCAGCTGGGGGTAAAGAGCCTTGCTCAAGGGCTCAGAGTGGGGCAAATGTGGGTGGGGCAGGTGTGGGCGTTTCACCTTTCCCACACACATTTGATGTTGTCTGTCCAGGGAGTTGAACCGGCGACCTTTCAGTCACAGGCCCACCTTCTCTAACCTCTGCTCCACCACTCCCCAAAACATCCTGACAACATTTTCAATGTTTGACTGAAACCATTAAAAGTGTGTGCGCTCTGTGCAGACTTCCACTGGTGACCAGTGGGGGGCGCTGCTCTCGCTGCTGCTGCTGACAAGCGTCCAGCTGTGAATGTTATCTTGTTGTTGCTTCACCTTCCTCAGACAGGAACGCAGCTTTACTTGTTGCCTGAGAACACGTTTGGCCTCAGACTTCGTTTTATTCTTCACCTTGAGACAAATAGAACAATGTGCAAATAAGTTCTGAAGCCGTGTCTGCGTCCTCAGCCCAGACCTGATCTCTTTGTGAGACACTTTTCTTCAGGGCTTGTTGCTATGAAGGTTTGCTGGAAGTCGCCATGAGTCCAGCTGCGCAGCAAATATGTGAAAGTTATCTTTAAAATAAAAACATTAGAGAAACTGCATTGAAAAAGCAGAGTGAACGGCTCAGCTAAAAACTACAAGTACCAAAAGGCCAGCTGGAAGCAGGTAAAACCTATAGCTAACAAATGTTACATGTTAGCTAAAATATCAGAATTAGCTAAAAGTAGAAAAGAGTTAGTTAAAAAAAAAAAAGAACATTAGCTAAAGAACAAAGAGGTTGTTGTCATCTGGACCAGTTTAATTAAGTGGGAAATGTTTCTTCCCCCATCCAGAGGAGCTGACAACCCATTAGCTAAAGAAGAGGAATCGTAGGTTAAACAAAAATAAAGTGGCAGAGGAAAAAACAACAGCTGAAATCATCGAGCTGAACATTTGAACTCTAAATGGCTAAAAAAGCACAAAGTGAATTAGTTTGCAAAAAGAACAAAAACAATCAAGAGACAGGAAAAGAACCGTATACACGTGTAGTACTTTGTATTTATATATATATTTATATATATGGTATAACTGCTGAGTCAGCATGCAGACCTTAAAGAGCCTGCACAGCCGGAGCTGCAGAGCGTTTCCTGCACTGATGGTCCTGCACAACACGACTCTTTTCACGGCGTCTCCATGGCAGCGTGATGTCCCACGAGCAGCCCAGGGCCCTCAGCGTCGTCCACGTCCCCACCCAGTGCCCCCAGCAGCTCCATGCTGCTCCCAGTGCCCCCCAGCAGCTCCATGCTGCTCCCAGTGCCCCCCAGCAGCTCCATGCTGCTTCCAGTGACCCCCAGCAGCTCCATGCTGCTTCCTGCCTCAGCTAACAATGGCCACTTGGACTTTTCGCTGTGCTTACCAAGCGAAACGTCCCGTCACTGACAAGTCTTATTAATGTGCAGTCTGCGTCCAGTGAGCGGCAGCGCAGGTAAAAATAGAAGCAAGCAGCACGACAGGCAGCAGGGCCCCAAAACACCCAGGGGACAGAGTTGATATTAGAAGGAACTGTGTTTAATGATAGAAACAATTATTATAACAAGAATAAACAATTTCTCATACTTATCACAACTTCTTTAAAGTATTTTACTTAAAATTCCATTGAGTATGAAAGTTTGTTGCTGAAATATCAGGCGCGTTGATGAGAAATGATTATCTGTCGTCATGGAGACGGGAGTGCTGCGAGAACATGTAAAGTTAAAAAAGCTACACAGATGCTACGAAACAAGATCTCACGCTACCTGCTGGTTCCTTAAGTCATCAATATAAATTAATAAATATAAATATATATAACCAGATTACAAGCTTACATGTAATAATGGATGTGTAATTTCTTAAAAGCATTTTTAAAAAAAAAAAAAAAAAAAAAAAAAAAAAAAGCATTTTTAATTTAAAATTAGTTTTTATTTATGACACGTCACTTCATGTCATGTACAAAGGGTGCTGCAGCACCCTCAGCACCCCCACATCTCACATCAGGATTAATCAGTAAATCTGGAGACATGGTGTGTGTGTGTGTGTGTGTGTGTGTGTGAGTCTGTGCACGAGTGACGTCACTCTTAAGGCCTCGACACGACCCCGGTGACACGTGAGTTTTCTGTTAGACACACTGATTCCAGGACTGAGTGCAGGTGAGATGTTTGCGCTGGCAGCTGCAGGTGCGACTCCACCTGAACAACAGGAGGAAACGTGTTTCTGTTTGTGATTAAGAGCAAATCCCAGTTTGTTTCCATGAAGGGAGCGGCTGCGCACTGGTCCTCTGGCTTCAGCTGCAGCTCTCTGACAACCCCCAGTGAAAAACTGCATGTCCTCAAAACATGTCTTTGATGCAACATCACCATCATCATCATCATCATCACCATCATCACCATCACCACCATCATCATCACCATCATCACCATCACCACCATCATCATCACCATCATCACCATCACCACCAGTAGAACTGTTCTTGAACTTGATGTGTATTTGCCCACAGCTCAGTTAATGAGTCTAACCTAATTAGACTTTTTAGAGTTTCCATTTATTTTAGTTTAAAAAAACAAAACTATTTTCATGTATTTTGTGTTTATCTTCAGAGCATCTCTGAATAAAGGCTTACAGTAATTATTTCATGAAAACAAGTTTTTTTGTTTGATTTTTAATTCAGTTCAATTTAATTTAATTTAATTTCGTGTTTGACTATTTCATTTTATCCAAGTCTGTGTTGTGTGTGCACGTGAAGCCTCCTCCACCTCCCACAGTCAGTCCAGGCGTTTTCCACCGAGGAGGCAGCGGAGCCTCCGTCACGTGACCCGCGTGCACCAATCACAGCGCGGCGGCACAACTTTGGCGATAAGCGAAGGAGGGTAAAGAGCGGCCGAACCCGAGCGGTCCCAGTGATCACTGGACTCCTCTCTGGTTCTGCTGGTTCTGGTGCTGTCCCCAGCAGCCCATGCGCGCGCCTGCAGCTCTCACACGCACACAACACGCAGGGCTGTGACTCGGACAATCATCTGTGACTGGCTGCTCTAATGCTGGGAGACAAGGCTCACGGTAAGTCCACACGGAACCGTCCTCCATCAGGTCTCCCCTGAGGGACACGGACACTGTCAGCAAAATATTCTGCATCAGGACAAACAAGAAGAAAAACACAACACCGTAAATACAATAATTATTATAATAATTATTATTATTATAATTATTATTATTATAATTATTATTATTATATACTACTACTAATAATAATAATTATTATTATTATATACTAATAATAATAATAATATTATTATTATTAGTATATAATAATAATAATAATAATAATAATAATAATAATTATTAATAATAATAATAATTATTATTATTATTATAATTATAAAAATTAATTCTTAGAAAACGAAACCTTGAAGCATTTTTGTAAAGAGGCAGCTAATAATAAATACAGCAACTCTTACTAACATTTACTAATAATAATTTAAAATGACAAGAAAAAGAAGCACGCACGCGCTGGTCAAACTAGCATAAATAACAATAATTCTGTGTATTAATATCCATCAGTAACAGTCATGTGCGCGTGCGGCGGAGCCTTCGGCTCTGCGGCCTTTCATCCTCTCACTGCGCCGCGCGCACCCGCAGCTTTAAACTTTTGCACAGTTTCTTCTCTTTCTCTTCTCCAAACCGAGCTGTAAAAACTGAGAGGATTGAAATGAAATGGAGGACAAAATCTGAGAACTGTGTAATTTGAAGCGAGATTAATTTCGATCAACTCATGGAAATAACTTGAATATAAACCTGATGGATTAGATGAAATATGCTCATTTTAAATTAAATTTATATCTGGGTAAAAAATACAAGTATGGAAATATTTTGTTCAAATTTAAAGTGTGACAAATTGGCAGTAAATGTTTAAAGATTTAAAATAATTATTTCCAGATTATTTTTATTTACATGAAGGGACTGAAAATAAAATGAGAAGAATGTAAAAACGAATTTCATGAAAACTTGAACAACTTCCTCCTCCTCTGTTTATTAAATGTAGAAAACATTGTTTATAAATGATAAATGTGCGCGTGTGTGTGTGTGTGTGTGTTTAGGTGTGACTCTGAAGGTGATGGAGTACACGTATGATGACGACCTGGAGGAGCTGTGTCCTGTGTGTGGAGACAAGGTGTCCGGATACCACTACGGCCTGCTCACGTGCGAGAGCTGCAAGGTAACCACCCCTCCTGGTCCTGGTCCTGGCCCTGGTCCTGGCCCTGGTCCTGGTCCTGGCCCTGGTCCTGGTCCTGGTCCTGGTCCTGGTCCTGGCCCTGGCCCTGGTCCTGGTCCTGTTTCTGGTCTTGGCTCTGGTCCTGGTCCTAGTCCTGGCCCTGGCCCTGGCCCTGGCCCTGGTCCTGGTCCTGGTCCTGGTCCATCACCAGTCTTTCTTCAGCGCTTCCATGTCGCAGGTTTTGTGGAGTTGCAGTAGAGGGTTTTAAATGTTCCCATGGTGCTTTGCGCGGTCTTGGCTCTTCATGTTGCTGGGGTCACCATTGGGGGGTCACCATTGGGGGTCACCATTGGGGGTCACTGGCTGCGGCGCCATGTTGGGTGAGCTCCACATGAACATCCAGTGATCACTTCCTGAAGGTGTCTTTAAAATCTGGTCAGTGCTTCGTGAGATATTTTGCTGACAGACTTGACTTTAAATAGTTAACGGCACAATCTTCAAATAAAAAAATAAAACCTTGTCTGTTGGCGCTCAGGTCAGGATGAGCAGAGTTCAGACCTGCAGGTTTGGACCGGACTCACACCAGAACTGATCAGCTGTAGATGCACATGCGTTCAGTGGTTTATACGATGATATTTTGCTAACAGGCTGACACGCCTCCGTTCCGTGGCGCGCGTCAGTCTTTGAGTTAAAACCCGTCAGTTCTGGAGCCTGACTCGCTCTGATCCAGAAACTTTCTGCTCATTTCCTCTCGTGCCGTTTAATAAAATGCGCGGGTCACGTGGTTCCGGTGGTTGTGTTCGGGCCCGGTGCTGACCCGGTCCAGTCTCCTGCTGTGTTGTGACTGCGCTGTTCCGTGTGCGCGCAGGGCTTCTTCAAGCGCACGGTCCAGAACAACAAGAGGTACACGTGCGCGGAGAACCAGGAGTGCAAGATCGACAAGACCCAGAGGAAGAGGTGTCCGTTCTGCCGCTTCCAGAAGTGCCTGAGCGTGGGCATGCGCCTCGAAGGTAAACAACAACAACAACAACAACAAGCTGCTTTTCATTTGCTTCCTGAAATGTTCAGTAAACACGTGTTTCCCTTCAGTTTGAACTCTGACAGTCTGCATGCTTAGGCCTGTTAGCAAAATATCTCCTGAGCCACTGAATGATTTATTGAACAGCTGGTTAGCTTTAGAAGTCAAACGAGTTCAAGATGAAAAATAAACGTGACTGCAGTGACTGAAACATCTGGACAGGTGTGGAGCTGCAGAGGCTCAAACATCTGGACA